TCATTGTTGGCAATGTACATCTGCCGTCACTGTTGTGCCATCCGGTAAGAAGCTGTGATGTATGTACAAGTCTGGTACTGGTCCACCAAACAGTCACCGTCGATTTGCTACGGGTAATCTTTTTTTTTCGCACTGATTAGGTGCTGTACCCGGGTCTACCCACTGAGACGAACGCTTACGATTATCGTACAGGATTGACTTTTCATTGCAGGTAAGAATTCGATTCAGAATTCCCTCGTTTCTATGCCGATTCAGCATGCTTCGACCCGTAAGTCTCGCTGATGGTAGCTTAGTTCGTGTGGCACTCACTTATCTAACGTTTTTATCTTTCCGATTTGACGCAAGTGCTTTAATGTTGTTTTGACACAAAGCCCGCAGCAAGCTCAGCCGTAGATTGAGTTGGATCTACTTTCACTGTCACCTTCAATTTGTCGTTGTCGACTATACTCGTTCTTTATCTCAAACCAATAAAGGACCATGTTTACGAAAGCAGTACACGTCGGTAATGTTTCATTTTGTTTGAGCAGCGGTATTTCCACGTAGGAACTCATATTCGAAAATTTACGAATTTTCAGTTTATCCATGCCAAAAACTACCACAGTTTCACAAAACAAAACACTAAAACAAATGACTGAATTTTAAATTAAATTATTTCGAATAAAATGTATTTCACAAAAAAAAAATCTCAAAATTCTGGTTTGAAAAGACTCCAACTTCATAGGTATTATTATTAAATGAAAACACACAAAGAAAATTGTGGTATTTTTTGTTTGTACATCTTAGAATAAAGATGAACTATTCTTGTGTTGTAATAGATATGTTTAAGCGAAATAGAACCTTGAACATTATTTAAATATTACTTTATGTGTTTACGAAGCGCCAGCAAAAGATCCCCATCGGCTTGATTTTTCCGTCCTCTTTAACTATCATCGTCATATTTAGGCATATTTATACAAAAACTTAATAAATTATACACCTAAATTTTTCTCATGAATATTAGTGAAAACCATATGAAAATTCGTCTGATTCTCTTATAATTTATCGTATTGACATTAACAGATAGACAGAAAAGTAGTCGCTTTGGGAGCCTTTATTTTATAATTGTTAGTGATTACAAATGAGGAAGAGTTTGCTTACTATGCTCAGGCACAAGCTTCACAGTTTTTAGTAATTCTCTGCTAGTGTACAAAAGTTATTATATATATATAAATATATATATATATATATATATAACACAAATATACACAAGCGTTAACCCCTGCTGTACGCTTTTTACGATGCCCTTTGTAAGGACCCTCTTGGATTTGACCTACTTTCCAACAAATACTATACCTATTTAAAGTAAGAGCCAAAAATTCGACTAATCTTTTATAATAATAATATAATTCAGAAAATGTTAGATAATCTTCATATTTTAGTCAAAAAATATTTCGTAAATAATATGTGCAGAGAAAATTATCACTTATTTCCTTTTGGGAAAATGATGATACTCTGTGTAAATGAACAATACACAATTCAATAAACAATAATACATTGTACCCTATATTATCTTTTCATAACCAACTGACACAGAATAAATAGATTCCTTTTGGGTTGATAAATCTCGATGACTTATCTGAAGATCACGCTTATGCTTGACAAGGGTTCGTGTATAAATGAAGCCTATTGTACCCCACTGTACAGAGTGACGGTATGACGTGGATGCTGTGAATGGGATAAATAGGCCTTTCTGTAGCTAACTTATGTAAATGTCTCACCCGTACATACACGTGTAATATGACGAATATTAGTTATATAATCTTCATCAAATCTAATGTCTTGATAATTAAAAAAAAATATACGCAGTTATAATTTTGACATTATTTCCTTATATTATACCCTATATTAAATTATATTATACTTATATAATCTACTGGATGACCGAGCTTTGCTCGGTACTCATCCGCAATTATAGCTCTAACAACAAAAATTAAAAATGCCATAGATAAAAAACAATATATCCTAGGTGTCTTTATAGACCTAATAAAAGGCATGCCTAGTATTATAGATAAAAACCTTCCTCTTGAATCACTCTCTTTATAACCGCATTAAAATCTGTTGCTTAGTTTAGTATTACTTACTTTATATTTAGTTTAGCTTACTTTATTTTATATTATGTAAAGATACTTTACTTGTTGAAAACCTACATTGATGTAGGTTAAAAAAATCTTGAAATTTACAGTAAATATATAATAATGCTTTTGAGTATGTATGACCACAACTATTATAAAAGTTAGATCTACCCAAGAGACAAACCCCTTCCATTAGGCGCAAAGTTTTCCACACTAATGGATTTGTGGCAATCAGAAACTTAAACTAGTGATTAGCGATCACTACCTAACAATAGGCATGGTCCTATGAACTACTTTATATCTATAGGTTGATTTATTTTAATACAACAACATTATTTCTTGTAAATCTAACATATCATCATATATTTATTGATATATTATAGCCTTATTACACATCGAATTTGGACCAAATTTAATTAAGTCTTGAAATTTTTATTTCATTAAATACGCCAATATATTATGCACTTCTGTAGCTTTTTGTAACTGTTAGCATATATTGTTTAAACATAAGCTGTTTTCAGACGCTATTTAACAGTAAATCTAGTATTTTTTTTAAATTATTGTGTAGGGAATGGTAGCTATATATAATAAAATAATAACTAGATTTACTGTTAAATAGGCGAAATACGAGTAGGGTCATATGTATACCGCCTCTGTCGCCTCTGTATACTCCCTCAGACGTGAGTGTATGGATGTATGTAAAATGAATTTTTTTTATTACGGAAAAAAAATACTACAAATGTAACATTTGCAATATTCATGTAATCAATTTTTTTACCTCGGGCCTGAGGGAGGTTATGAAACATGCCGAAAAATAATAATTAATCACGTCTTCCTATTGTTCGCCCTGCAGTCATTCTCAGATAAACGGTTATTCTCGTACTGTTCTGTGCCTTTTATTTGCAAATATCAAGGGAAGTAGCAATGTGTTTATTAGAATATTTGAAGAAACTTTTAACATTGTTCGAATATTCGATCGATACTAAAATATGTAGATTGAAATAGCTTTGTGTGTAATTTAAATATCAGCCATGATAATCATTTACAGAATTAATACTGCTTACTAAGGTTTGGTAATTTGAAAAAGAAGATAATGAATGAGTTTGTTTATTACGCTTAAACCTACTTATGTGATCATCATTAAATTTAGAAGTAACGTAGTCCAGTCCAGTAATATCTTAGAGATCAAAAATTAAATTTAGTAAGATTTTTATGTAGGTTTAAACCAGTATGTTTTTAAATTATATTGATTCCTTAAGTTTAATAAGGTAGTAAAAAATTATACCTAAACCTTGAAGATTCTAACTAAATAGGTCAGAATACCTATGTAAGAAAATTATAGAAAGGAATCACATCATCACACATCAACAGCCTTTAATAGTCCACAGCTGGACATAGGCCTCTCCTTAGAAAGGAGGTTTTGGCCTACTATACCACGATGGCCAGACGGGTTGGTATAGGGTTTGTGTCAAGTTTTCCTTCTTTTTGCAGTGCTGGTGACCTGCGTTGTTTTGCGCCCTTAGTCGTCTCTTACGACACCCACGGGATGAATTAGGGTAGTGACATTCCGTATTCTTAATCCGCCACTACATGGATCAATGATATTAAAAACTCTAATCAAAACAAACAGCATTAAAAAGACGTCGTGTAAGAGGTATGTCATATTTGTTACAAAAAAAAATAGTGATTCACAGAACTCAGTTACAAGCGCCAGCGCATGTGATGCACGGTGTTTTTAACCAGTTTTTCTGATGCCAAAGCCTTGTGGAACTTACTATTTGCTGCATTTGTTAACTAACTTCATTTTATAGTGTCCCTGTCAATATTAATGATAATTATTTAAATAGCATGATTTGTCAATTGTACAATCAACAATCTCCCAAAATATTTTAAAGGAGGATTTTTCTATGAAACTTCTATAATAAGAATATCAATAAAGATCTAATTGGAGATTTAGATTATGTCAGAAGGGCACGTGGATAGATTACGTAATTGTATAAACATACACCCGTCCACCCACGTCCGCACGTCGCACCGGTGCGTCTAATGATGACAAAGTTCTCTGTGAAATATTATCACACCAAAGTCTAACCCTACTCATATAACATAAAATATTTTTTGGGCCATAGTATTTCATAAGTCTATGTGCCTTTTATTTATTTAATACTATTGAATTTGACTGAACTTATACAGCTTAATACGGGCTGACTCAGTGCTTAACTTAACTCCGTATCAAAACTATACAGGGTGTAAGGGACATCGTAACGAATACTGAAATAGTGCATTCAGACCATGATTCTGTGTCGAAAATCATTGGAATTTTCTGGCAGAAATTCATCTTTTTTTTTATAATTTTCCATTGTTATTGGTTAAAAATGATATCAAAATGAGTCAACAGAACATTAACCGATTTTTTTTTATAAATACTGCATACGGTCCAATACTGCAATATAATTTATCAAACAGCCGAAGCGCGCGGGGCCCTCCAGCCGACAACTTGTGTTAGTGTGGGTAGACTGTTTGCACAAAATACACATGTGGTTATTACTTTTGTGCGATACCTACGGGAAATGACCTTTACTTTGATAATAGCATAGAAACATAGAAGAAGCATAGAAACTTTAATTTTCCGGCAGAAAATTCCAATGATTTTAGACTCAGTGTGATGGTCTGAATACATTATTTCAGTCTTCGTTACGATTTCCCTTACACCCTTTGTAAGTGCTAAATCTATTATCTGCCTTGAAAATATCAATGCATATATTTTAAGTAAACAATTCACACTTTCGTGAAATTAACTAAATCGATAATAAAATAGAATTACTTAAAACTTGTAAATTAGATTTCTATCAACAAGAAAGGCTGTAACTATTACTCAAACAAAAGAAAATGGAAAGGAAATCCATTTTCTTTCCATTTTCTTCGACTGTCGCCGCCAATGGACAATCGCACATTAAGAGTTACCTTAAGAGAGTTAACGAAAACTTCTTTGTTCCAGATGTCAGCAACATGGCCTTGGGCCTCGGTATTATCATCTTCACATTTCTTAAGTTCACGGATTGTGACGTCGTCACTGATGCACCAAAAACAAAGGATGTCTACATATACCAAAGAGATGGTCCCAAAGACGTCCAGGAACCCGAACTTCTACCTGTTCTTCACGGAAACGATACTCGATGCCGTATATCGGAATATTTATGCTCGAATAAGAAATGCATACCGATAAATAGATTCTGTGATGGTTCGAACGATTGTGGTGATTCGTCTGATGAACCGAGGCATTGTACACGTAAGTACCATTTAATATTATAACAAAACAAAAGCACCAGTAATCCTTAATGATGAACAATTTATTATATTATTATTATCACTATAGGGTTAATGTGTTGTGGGTTTGAATAATGTGCATGCCGTAACACATTCAAGGGTAAAGTATTATGTGTTTATTTTTTATTTTTTTATTTATCACATACAACAACTTGACAAAGAAAGTTTACAAAACGACAGCTTCTGGAGAAACCACATAGGTTTATGTCAAAAATAGTCCATTCTAGGTAGTGTGGACATACAATATGTCAACCTCTATGATGAATCTATCTAAAGTAATCCAAGTATCACAATGACGTTGAATGTAAATTTGGCAAACCGTATCGTTTGAAAGACACCATACATTTTGAAAACAAATGTTACCACAAAGCGTATAAAAATTTTGAGCAAAGAAATAAAAAAAAAAAATTGCTTTCCTACACTTTTTTCAGCAAACGATTTAATTTTTTCACAATATTACGTCTCTCGGCAGATCAAAATGTATAACAGAGGAATAGAAAGCAAAGTACAAAAAATAATCCCTCATCACGCCAGCAAAAATTCAACTTCCATAATCCTTTTTCTGGGGAAGTGGGTCCAACATGACGCGGCAGCAGCTGAAAAGTACGAGTGCGAATGTTTTATACTTCAATGTATATCTATTATATCCACATTAGGTAGGTATACGCTTATACGAATGTGTAAAAGTTGGAGCTCCGGCACAGAATAACAGCTGTGGATTGTTTTATATTCATCGACATGAAAAACTGTTATCTGAAGTGTTTTTAATTTTGAATTGAGTGAGTATAAATAAATTAATAAACTCCTTTTATTAAATCTATCATACTTACAGAGACTTAGATAATGTATGAATTGTTCGGTTAATAGTACTAGTTAAATCACATAAATCGCGTTCAGGTTTAAAGTTTTATAAAAATTAAAGTATATTTTGCCTTGGTCGTTAGACGTCTATTGCTCTTGAAAGACTGTATTTTATTTGACATCACTTCGATTCCTGTAGCTTACAAGCTATTGGTTAATCTAACTAATCTTATACTTATTGTATACTCGTTATATGATTATTATATCAGTATTTTTCTCAGATATTTTTCACGTGTGACAACTTCCAGATAGTGGTAGTAAACACTTATAATATCTACTATTTATACACATACTTGTACCGTTCCTTTGTTGCAAAATATATGTTGAAATAATTGCGCTTTACACCAGCTTTTATTTAATTATGAAAGGGGGAATTGACGTTTATATAAATTAATTACTATACTGTATAGATGTATATTATATGCGGGTAATTTATAATTAATGCCAAACAATTTAGTGTGCGTTAGTTTTATTCACGTTCTCTAATAGGTAGTATGTGTGTGTTTGATTAATTTGAACCAATTTGAAGTAAAGCAACTAAATTAAGTTGGCATTTCAAACTCTCGATCATTTATTTCGTCTTATAGAGTATTATAGCTTTCGTAGATACCTAGTAGGTCTACCTAAATAAGACAGACTGTTATATTGAGTACAGAAGATATTCCTGTTGTGTCGAGAAATTTTATTACAATAAACTGTAAGGCCTTATTAGCCTAACTGTACTTATAAATTCAGAAAATATTATTCCGTTTCATTTATAATCATAAAAACTACCTATTTATTAAAATAGGTAAATTCTTATTACAATAATGGACGATTATTCGTTACTGAGTGTATATAATAAACTAGCTCAGGAATGGCTGTCTTATTAAATGACAGAGTATATTTGTAGCGGAACTAAAAAAGGTTCTGAATGGTAACGGTTTGTTAAATACACTCCCCGAGGGAAATTTAAGTCTACCTCGTAACGAATTAATTGGAAGGAAACAGCTACGGTAAACAAATGCACAATTTCCGAATACTAGAACATTTTGTTAAGGAATTTTAAAGATGCTTAAAGAAGTCTAGGAATATTTAACAATGAGCCGAGTAATTCTCTTGCATTTCTGTGATTGCTACGAAATTAATTTGAACCAAACCACTATAATAGAAGGTACAACATAAATTCTATGCTTTTATTGTGTTTTGTATTTCAAATTGACTGATAATTACTATTACATTGTGTTATTTTACTGTTATGAACAATTTAAGTCTATTTTCTTCAGTTATTCGAGGTGTACAACAATGTAATAAGCTTACTTTTGTACCATTTTGACTACAAAACGAATTTAAGTAAATTATCAGCTCTTGTATCACAATTATTAAAAGCATGTATTCATAATAAAGCTATCTGAACCTTACACCTACTAAATAGATTAAATGTAATATGATATACCGTACACATATTATGTGATGATGTAAAGCATTTAAAATATGGCTTTTTTATGATTTTTAGAACAGAGTAAAAGCTTCATTTGGTGTAACTGCGCCCTAAATAGGAAAATATCGGGTTGCAATGTTATGTGCTTATAAAATAAATAAGATTTGTTATTATTTTTAATTTATTAAATCTTTTTGATAAGGCAGACTAATGTCGGATGTAGAAATAACAATTTTGGTACGTGCGAAGACATAATAAAATGAAAAGAGAAGAGATGATCAAATCATAAACTAAATATATCGACATTAATATAAAGAAATTACTTACTTCATTAATTTTAAAAATATGGTTTAATAATTTCTTGTACATTACAAATTTTATCTGCGACTTGTTGTAACATCACTACATTAGAAAGTTATGACACGTCACTAAGGTACGTAGCACTATGCACATATTTAGGTAGTCATTGCTCTGCTGTCTGCGACACTAAAGTTCCTAGTCAAAATCTGTATATGCAATACGTTAACTATATGATAATATAATAGTCAAGAAGTAATGTTATTTATAACACCTCCTCAAGCCATATAAAAACATAACTTGGTATCAGTAGTGAAAATGTAACGAATTAACGCAAGATGTCAAAATCTACAAATGTGGGTAGTCATGATGGCCGCTAGATAAAACATTTCAACAATGCGCAGAGGTGGAAAAAGTGGTGGCAGTAACTAGAGTTGTATTTGTTGGCCACTGGTCTGGATCAGTCAGGTGAGAGGCGAAAGATCTCAAGTTTTTACACCTAATCGGAGAGAAAGGTCTCAACACACTGTTTTTATCTTAAGTTATTGTGAATTTCTATTGTAGTTTATTTTTAATTGACAAAAAATTTACTTTTTTTTATTTAACTTATGAAGTAATATTTGATATATTGACATCCTTAAATCTCTAAATGTTGTCCACATTTACTGTGTTAAATTTAGATTTCTAAAATATATAATTTATAAATGTTAGGTATTGCATGCCGGCCCGGGCACGGGCCAGGCAGCGCAGGCGACTCAGGCGCCGGAGGTCGCAGAACGACCTCCGTCCTCCATAAGCGCAGGCCTGGGGGTGACAGGTGAGGCCATCTGTCACCCTAGCAGAAGCAGGCCGGGGTGGCGGCGAGCGCGTTGCGAAGCGCGCTCGCTTCCAGGGAGCACAGGGAACATGGGGTTCCCACACGGGGCGGGGGTCGTCTACTCGTCTGTAGATGACCCGAGGTATGTCGGGGCACCAGGGCCTTCCTTTCTAGGGTATACCTGGTTCCCCGGCTATTAGTACCCGGCGAAGGCGTGCGGTTTTAGTCGGTTCGAGTCCGACATGCCACTGACAGGTGGTATCCGAGGGGATTTCTGCACGGAAAAAAAAAAAAAAAAAAAAAAAAAAAAAAAAAAAAAAGGTATTGCATGCCGAGAGGCCAATAACGGAAAAGCTATGCCATATTATGCATTTTCGCAGTAAAGTAGAATTTGAATTTGAATATTATGTGTTCTAGGACACACAGGTTTTTATTATTTCTAATGATATCATTTCAAACTGGACTATAGTTTAAAAAGTTAATGTTTAGTAAAGCTAAATAAAATGCGCAACTATGCATTAATGTAATTCCGCAGGTACGTTGAAACGCAATAAAGAAAATACTTAAAATCACATTACACATCACATTTGTATTTCTGTTCAACCATTCCAGATCTACACACATGAATTGGTTCATGATGTTATATTATAAATATACCTAAAATTACTCCTTAATCTACACCGGATTTTTTGGTTAGCTTATATGCAAAGGCATCTGTGATGTAAAAGAGAGGAAATATGGAGGCATGTTACAATGTTTCTTTGTTGAGAAATACTTGACATACAACTTTTCCTAAAAAATATTTAAAATGCCTACTCGAAATAGTTGAATGTTCGTTCTATTCGTTTGTCATTTATAAAACTGGTATACATTATACATTCAACGTCAAGCGAGTTTTTGCGACGATCACAGACCGCAGCCTGCCTTTCTTCCAACCGGAAACTCCCATGATCGCCTAATGGAAATTTATTCTCACTCTTTGATTTAAATTCCGTCCTCGCCTAATGATTTATGGCTTTTGTTGGACTAAGTAGTTTGAAAGTTACTGTATCGACATAGAGTATAGGCAAGCACAGTAGCTGCATCTATACGGTTAGAGTTGATGGCAGTTCCCAATGTAAATATTTTATTCAGACACGTTGCTAAAGTTTTTTGTTGCCTTTTTTTAAATTTATGCATAGGGTCATAGAAGTAAATTGAGGGATGAAAGTGAAAGCCGTAGAAAGTTTAGAACATTAAATTATTAAAGGGATTTTTTTTCATATAGTTAATTTTCAAATGTAAATTAAAAGGTATATTGCTAATATCGAGAGTTCAAAAATACAAAAAAACGATGTCTTGATTCCTAATACTTCAGAAGAAAGAAATAAATCGAGTATTATACTGACTGCCGCCTCGTAGTATTGAATTTCACATAAGAGCACGATCGATCAAAAAAGAATAATTGTGTCGTTTTACGTACTAAGAAGATATAGTAGTAACTAGTGATGTAAGCAAACGATTCGAAATCAACTTTGTATTGCGCTTAGAAATAAATGGTAAATCAAATCGTAAAAAAAATCTTTACAGGAGTAGGTTCAGCATCTTTTT